CTTTTGTCTTCCCATAATGTTGCTGGAGGAGACAGATGGACTCCAGGTTAGGCATTTACATCTAGCCTGTTTACATTTCTTGAGGCAAGAGATGGTTGGGCTCCAGTTGAGCCTTTACAGTCAGTGTCCTGCTTGCCCTGTGAAATGGAAGTAACAACAGAAAGAGGGTAAATAGCCAGTGTCTGTCTCTTATGAACACTTTAGTAGCCATGACAAGGGCAAAGAGGGACAAAACCCTGCTTGAGTCAAGGATGAAGAGATCTCCCCTCCCCCCACCCCCCTTGTGGGAGAAGGGAAACACTACACACGCGCAGAGAGGCTCCTTGTGGGTGAAAAGTCCCGCGAAAATGCCAGACCATGATGAGCCTCGCTTCTCCCAGAAGCCTCCACTTGGAGATCCATCTTGGCTGAGGGGTATGTGCACACCAGGGCAGAGGCCCAGGATAGGTCAGATGTGAAGAAAGGAACCAGAAACTTGGCAGGAAGGAAGACAAAGACCCAGAAGAACTGGCCTATATAAAGGACTTCACCACCTCGTGGTTATTGTGCTCCTTGTCACCAGGGGGCGCCCATAACCTTTCTCTCCAGGTGTGTGTCTCTGCTTTGCTTCTGTCGGAACTAGACCAGCTGTTCCTCCGTGTTCTTTCCCACGTGTTGCTGTGCTGTGTCTCTGATAATAAACGTTGTACCTGCATGTAGCGATTCTGCCTCCATGATGAATGCATTTTTCACTGGTCAAAGATCCAGGGAAACTTGGCTTCTAGCCTCTAGCCCTTGCTGGTCTGGTGGCTAGGATTCCTGGTTTTCGTTCAGGCTACCCAGGTTCAGTTCCTGGGCAGCGAATTAGATCTCACTTCACGCCACCACTCACTGCTGCCTCACTGAGATCAACTCAATTTTTATCACCATTTAATCTACATCATATGAATTTTTGCAACTTTTCGTAAAAGGACTTCTTAGGTATTAACATACTGATATTTCCATAAGGGGGAAATACTTCTTCCCTAAAACTGCATTGAGAAGATTTGCACTTAAGAAAGTGTGTTTTACTGTAGCAGAATTATTATTTTGTCTTTACACTCTAGCATTTGTTAAATCCTTAACTGCCAAGAACTGTTCAGGCTTCCCTGGTGGCTCAGCTGGTGAGGAATCCAGCTGCAGTGCAGGAGACCTGGGTTCGATCCCTGGGTTGCAAAGACCCCCTGGAGAAGGGAAACGGCTACCCACTCTAGTATTCTGGCCTGGGGAATTCCATGGACTGTACAGTCCATGCGTTTGCAGAGTCAGACATGACAGAGCGACTTTCACTGTTCACCAGCAACGGTTCGGCCTGAGATAAGAACTTTCAAAAATCTTTGAACACAGACGCTCTAACTTATTTTCCCTCTGGGATAAATATTTTGCATTTACTTTTAGGTCATATAGACACAATAGGCAGAGAACTCTCTTATTATGTATTTTATTTGCATGTAAATTAACATCCTAGAAACTTTAAAATAGAAACACTAAATACAGCATTGCACAGAACAATCTCTGTTAAATGCCCCATTATCTCACTGAAGTTCCTATACGCATGCAGGGACTGAAGGAGACAGGAAGATGGCAGAAGAGCAACCCGAGAGCCACTACTGTGTCTGGGCACATCAACTACAGACTGCAAGGTAAGGACAGTATTTTATAGGAATAGAAACATAGTTACAATTCAGATTTCCTTTTTAAGTTGCCTCCTTAACTGGTTTGCAGTAGCAACAGATTCTCCCCTTTTTTCATAGCCATTCCCCAACACATATCATTTTTAAAAATCTATTAATGTTAGACAAAGCCATCACAGTGCTTCAGGAGTGACTTCAAGAAAACTCCAATCAAGTCACAGTACTCAGGCAGGTGGGTTTAATAGCCAAGTCCTAGGTAGATATCAATCCATCTGAAAGTGGGCAGTAATGTTTGAACACATCTAGGATTTCCTTTTAAACACATGCTCCAAGGAAAACAGTACTGAATTGACCAGAGGAACAGTAAAAAGAGGACATCACTGGAAGGGAGTTTACACTGCCAGTCTGGCCCTGCGGTCTGGCGCTGGGGTAGCATCTGCTCGCTTGGCCCCTGTGTCCCTCAGGGAGGTCACGGGCTCAAGAGTGCAGAACAAGTATCATCACTAGGACTGCCCAGAGCTGCTGCGAACATCCAAAAAGTTTCACTTTAAGAGTTCTTTAGAGGGCTTCCCTGGCGATCCAGTGCAGGGGCCTGGGTTCAATCTCTGGTCAGTGAACTAGATCCCATTCAGTGCAAGGAAGAGTTTGCACGCCACAATGAAAGATCCCATGTGTGGCAACCAAGACCTGGTGCAGCTTACAAAAGAGAAAAAAGGCACAAAATGTTCTTTAGAAAGTGCTATAAAATGCTATGAATGATTGCTTCTGCTAAGCAAATGGTAAGAAAATATGTGTATTAGTTGCTCAGCGGTGTCCGACTCTTTGTGACTCCATGGACTGTGGCCTTCCCAGTTCCTCTGTCCGTGGAATTCTCTAGGCAAGAATACTGGAAGAGGTGGCCATTCCCTTCTCCAGGCGATCTTCTCAACCCAGGCATGAAACCCAGGTCTCCTGCATTGCAGACAGAGTCTTTACCACCTGAGCCACCAGGGAAGCCCAGGAAATACGTCGACCGGAATCCTCTTAATCAAGACAGGGGCCATTAGAGAGAAAATAACCTACTCGGTTAATTTAGTTTTATTATTGCCATTCTCCTTGGGAATTAAAAATAGGGTACTTCTGGAGAAACTGACAAAGCTGTGATTTATCTTAATAAAAGACTTCTTATGGAGATCTTGAAACCTGTTTCCGGAAAGAAATGAGTTCTAAATATATTTCTTAAGCCTGGTGGCAAAGTTTCTAATGACAGAATTCATCTCCCATGCAGCTCAATGAATCCCTGTTGTTTTTTTTTCATTTATTTTTATTAGTTGGAGGCTAATGACTTTACAAATTTTTTTGTCATACATTGACATGAATTAGCCATGGATTTACATGTATTTCCCATCCCGATCCCCCCTCCCACCTCCGTCTCGACCCGATCCCTTTGGCTCTTCCCAGTGCACCAGGTCCGAGCACTTGTCTCCTGCATCCAACCTGGGCTGGTGATCTCTTTCACCCTAGATTATATATACATGTTTCGATGCTGTTCTCTTGAAACATCCCACCCGCGCCTTCTCCCACAGAGTCCAAAAGTCTGTTCTATACATCTGTGTGCCTTTTTCTGTTTTGCAAATAGGGTTATCGTTACCATCTTTCTCAATTCCGTGTATATGTGTTAGTATCCTCTAATGGTCTTTATCTTCCTGGCTTACTTCAGTCTGTATAACGGGCTCCAGTTTCATCCATCTCTTTAGAACTGATTCAAGTGAATTCTTTTTAATGGCTGAGTAAGATTCCATGGTGTATATGTACCACAGCTGCCTTATCCATTCGTCTGCTGACGGGCATCTAGGTTACTTCCATGTCCTGCCTATTATAAACGGTGCTGCGATGAACATTGGGGTGCACGTGTCTCTTTCAGATCTGGTTTCCTCGGCGTGTATGCCCAGAAGTGGGATTGCTGGATCTTAGGGCAGTTCTTTTTCCAGTTTTTTAAGAAATCTCCACACTGTTTTCCATAGTGGCTGTACTAGTTTGCATTCCCACCAACAGGGTAAGAGGGTTCCCTTTTCTCCACACCCTCTCCAGCATTTATTGCTTGTAGACCATTTGGATAGCAGCCATCCTGACTGGCGTGTAATGGTACCTCATTGTGGTTTTGATTTGCATTTCTCGGATAATGAGTGATGTTGAGCATCTTTTCATGTGTCTTTTAGCCATCTGTATGTCTTCTTGGAGAAATGTCTGGTTAGCTCTTTGGCCCATTTTTTGATTGGGTCATTTATTTTCTGGAGTTGAGCTGGAGGAGTTGCTTGTATATGTTTGAGATTAATCCTTTGTGTGTTGCTTCGTTTGCTGTTATTTTCTCCCAATCTGAGGGCTGTCCTTTCACCTCGCTTATAGTTTCTTTGTCTTGCAAAAGCTTTTAAGTTTCATTAGGTCCCGTTTGTTAATTTTCGCTTTTGTTTCTAATACTCTGGGATCCTGCTGTGATGTATGTCGGAGAGTGTTTTGCCTGTGTTCTCCTCTAGGAGTTTTATGGTTTCTGGTCTTAACATTTAGATCTTTAATCCATTTTGAGTTTATTTCTGTGTATGGTGTTAGAAAGTGTTCTCGTTTCATTCTTTTCCAGGTGGCTGACCAGTTTTCCCAGCACCGCTTGTTAAAGAGGTTGTCTTTTTTTCCACTGTATATCCTTGCCTCCTTTGTCGAAGATAAGGTGACCATAGGTTCGTGGATTTATCTCTGGGCTTTCTGTTCTGTTCCATTAATCTATATTTCTGTCTTTGTGCCAGTACCATACTGTCTTGATGACTGTGGCTTTGTGGTATAGTGTGAAGTCAGGCAGGTTGATTCCTCCAGTTCCATTCTTCTTTCTCAAGATTCCTTTGGCTATTCGAGGTGTTTTGCATTTCCATACAAATTGTGAAATTATTTGCTCTAGTTCTCTGAAAGCTGCCGTTGGTAGCTTGATAGGGATTGCATTGAATCTGTAGATTGCTTTGGGTACTATAGCCATTTTGACAATATTGAGAATCCCTGTTTTTCAACAACGGAATGAATCAAATCATTGAGTGCAGCAGCTCTGAGGTTACTGTTACAGCTCACATTAAGGCAAGATGGATCAAGGTAACTGTTGGTTTGTTTGTTTTTTTAGCTGTTGGTGAAAATCCAGTAGATGCTGTCTTAAATTTACTTAGAACTCTTGAAGGAAGAATTTTAAGGGCCTCAGGAAGGTGCTGTGCTTGGCGAGCGGTGGGGCGAGGAGGGGGGCAGAGGTAGGGCGAAGGGGCGGGGCTGAGGCACTCGGGTGGACCGCGCTGGTGGCTCCCGTTGGGTTTGGGCCCCAGGCAGGTGCCGGGCAGGATGGGTGCTCAGGGCCCCGGCTGCGCTCCGCCTATGCCCGAGGGAGGCTCAGAGGACCGAGGGCCGCGGTCCGCGGCGGGCCCGAATCAGACACCTCCGGGGCCACGTGGCCCTGAGCCACGAACGGGAGTGGGCAGGGGGGGCGCCGACAGGGGGCGGGCCTGGAGAGGCCCAGGGCGGGAGGGCGCCGAGACCTCCGCGCCCCTCACCCCAACCCCAAGCCCAGGCATGCACGCCCGACCGCCTGCTCGGGGTCCCGGAAACACTCCGGGCCCCCGGGCCGGGCCAGGTTTGCTGGCCAGGGTTACTGGTGTGCGGGGACGGGGAGGCTTCGGCCGGGCTGCCGGCCCTGGCCGGCGCGCCCCGTGGAAAGGTGCGGCCGGCTGGCTCGACACGGCACATCAGAGCGAAAAGGAGGCGCAGCGCAGGGTTTTTAAAGGTGCCTGGCGGCAACCGCCTCCATCTAAGATCATACCACCCTGAACGGGCCAGATGTCTTCTGATCGGGGAAACTAAGCAGGGTTAGTTAGTACTTGGATGGGAGACCCCCTAGTAGTTAGGAGCTCCAGGCTTTTGCACAAAGTAGACGACAAGCCAACGCAGAGGTGATGAAAAGTTTATCGTGAAAAATCCAATTCAACCTGAATTCAAAGATGGTTTATGGCATAAAAGCAAGTGTTTTCCATTAGGTTCCCCCCCACCCCCCATTAACTTGCATAATGGTTGCCATTACATAATGCTTTGTTTTTATTCCTTCTTTCCTTGTCTATATCCATCTTTTTGCACCATCATGTGGTGCCTTATTGGCATAATTTTCCGCCTTTTGTCTTCCCATAATGTTGCTGGAGGAGACAGATGGACTCCAGGTTAGGCATTTACATCTAGCCTGTTTACATTTCTTGAGGCAAGAGATGGTTGGGCTCCAGTTGAGCCTTTACAGTCAGTGTCCTGCTTGCCCTGTGAAATGGAAGTAACAACAGAAAGAGGGTAAATAGCCAGTGTCTGTCTCTTATGAACACTTTAGTAGCCATGACAAGGGCAAAGAGGGACAAAACCCTGCTTGAGTCAAGGATGAAGAGATCTCCCCTCCCCCCACCCCCCTTGTGGGAGAAGGGAAACACTACACACGCGCAGAGAGGCTCCTTGTGGGTGAAAAGTCCCGCGAAAATGCCAGACCATGATGAGCCTCGCTTCTCCCAGAAGCCTCCACTTGGAGATCCATCTTGGCTGAGGGGTATGTGCACACCAGGGCAGAGGCCCAGGATAGGTCAGATGTGAAGAAAGGAACCAGAAACTTGGCAGGAAGGAAGACAAAGACCCAGAAGAACTGGCCTATATAAAGGACTTCACCACCTCGTGGTTATTGTGCTCCTTCTCACCAGGGGGCGCCCATAACCTTTCTCTCCAGGTGTGTGTCTCTGCTTTGCTTCTGTCGGAACTAGACCAGCTGTTCCTCCGTGTTCTTTCCCACGTGTTGCTGTGCTGTGTCTCTGATAATAAACGTTGTACCTGCATGTAGCGATTCTGCCTCCATGATGAATGCATTTTTCACTGGTCAAAGATCCAGGGAAACTTGGCTTCTAGCCTCTAGCCCTTGCTGGTCTGGTGGCTAGGATTCCTGGTTTTCGTTCAGGCTACCCAGGTTCAGTTCCTGGGCAGCGAATTAGATCTCACTTCACGCCACCACTCACTGCTGCCTCACTGAGATCAACTCAATTTTTATCACCATTTAATCTACATCATATGAATTTTTGCAACTTTTCGTAAAAGGACTTCTTAGGTATTAACATACTGATATTTCCATAAGGGGGAAATACTTCTTCCCTAAAACTGCATTGAGAAGATTTGCACTTAAGAAAGTGTGTTTTACTGTAGCAGAATTATTATTTTGTCTTTACACTCTAGCATTTGTTAAATCCTTAACTGCCAAGAACTGTTCAGGCTTCCCTGGTGGCTCAGCTGGTGAGGAATCCAGCTGCAGTGCAGGAGACCTGGGTTCGATCCGTGGGTTGCAAAGACCCCCTGGAAAAGGGAAACGGCTACCCACTCTAGTATTCTGGCCTGGGGAATTCCATGGACTGTACAGTCCATGGGTTCGCAGAGTCAGACATGACAGAGCGACTTTCACTGTTCACCAGCAACGGTTCGGCCTGAGATAAGAACTTTCAAAAATCTTTGAACACAGACGCTCTAACTTATTTTCCCTCTGGGATAAATATTTTGCATTTACTTTTAGGTCATATAGACACAATAGGCAGATAACTCTCTTATTATGTATTTTATTTGCATGTAAATTAGCATCCTAGAAACTTTAAAATAGAAACACTAAATACAGTATTGCACAGAACAATCTCTGTTAAATGCCCCATTATCTCACTGAAGTTCCTATACGCATGCAGGGACTGAAGGAGACAGGAAGATGGCAGAAGAGCAACCCGAGAGCCACTACTGTGTCTGGGCACATCAACTACAGACTGCAAGGTAAGGACAGTATTTTATAGGAATAGAAACATAGTTACAATTCAGATTTCCTTTTTAAGTTGCCTCCTTAATTGGTTTGCAGTAGCAACAGATTCTCCCCTTTTTTCATAGCCATTCCCCAACACATATCATTTTTAAAAATCTATTAATGTTAGACAAAGCCATCACAGTGCTTCAGGAGTGACTTCAAGAAAACTCCAATCAAGTCACAGTACTCAGGCAGGTGGGTTTAATAGCCAAGTCCTAGGTAGATATCAATCCATCTGAAAGTGGGCAGTAATGTTTGAACACATCTAGGATTTCCTTTTAAACACATGCTCCAAGGAAAACAGTACTGAATTGACCAGAGGAACAGTAAAAAGAGGACATCACTGGAAGGGAGTTTACACTGCCAGTCTGGCCCTGCGGTCTGGCGCTGGGGTAGCATCTGCTCGCTTGGCCCCTGTGTCCCTCAGGGAGGTCACGGGCTCAAGAGTGCAGAACAAGTATCATCACTAGGACTGCCCAGAGCTGCTGCGAACATCCAAAAAGTTTCACTTTAAGAGTTCTTTAGAGGGCTTCCCTGGCGATCCAGTGCAGGGGCCTGGGTTCAATCTCTGGTCAGTGAACTAGATCCCATTCACTGCAAGGAAGAGTTTGCACGCCACAATGAAAGATCCCATGTGTGGCAACCAAGACCTGGTGCAGCTTACAAAAGAGAAAAAAGGCACAAAATGTTCTTTAGAAAGTGCTATAAAATGCTATGAATGATTGCTTCTGCTAAGCAAATGGTAAGAAAATATGTGTATTAGTTGCTCAGCGGTGTCCGACTCTTTGTGACTCCATGGACTGTGGCCTTCCCAGTTCCTCTGTCCGTGGAATTCTCTAGGCAAGAATACTGGAAGAGGTGTCCATTACCTTCTCCAGGCGATCTTCTCAACCCAGGCATGAAACCCAGGTCTCCTGCATTGCAGACAGAGTCTTTACCACCTGAGCCACCAGGGAAGCCCAGGAAATACGTCGACCGGAATCCTCTTAAGACAGGGGCCATTAGAGAGAAAATAACCTACTCGGTTAATTTAGTTTTATTATTGCCATTCTCCTTGGGAATTAAAAATAGGGTACTTCTGGAGAAACTGACAAAGCTGTGATTTATCTTAATAAAAGACTTCTTATGGAGATCTTGAAACCTGTTTCCGGAAAGAAATGAGTTCTAAATATATTTCTTAAGCCTGGTGGCAAAGTTTCTAATGACAGAATTCATCTCCCATGCAGCTCAATGAATCCCTGTTGTTTTTTTTTTCATTTATTTTTATTAGTTGGAGGCTAATGACTTTACAAATTTTTTTGTCATACATTGACATGAATTAGCCATGGATTTACATGTATTTCCCATCCCGATCCCCCCTCCCACCTCCGTCTCGACCCGATCCCTTTGGCTCTTCCCAGTGCACCAGGTCTGAGCACTTGTCTCCTGCATCCAACCTGGGCTGGTGATCTCTTTCACCCTAGATTATATATACATGTTTCGATGCTGTTCTCTTGAAACATCCCACCCGCGCCTTCTCCCACAGAGTCCAAAAGTCTGTTCTATACATCTGTGTGCCTTTTTCTGTTTTGCAAATAGGGTTATCGTTACCATCTTTCTCAATTCCGTGTATATGTGTTAGTATCCTCTAATGGTCTTTATCTTCCTGGCTTACTTCAGTCTGTATAACGGGCTCCAGTTTCATCCATCTCTTTAGAACTGATTCAAGTGAATTCTTTTTAATGGCTGAGTAAGATTCCATGGTGTATATGTACCACAGCTGCCTTATCCATTCGTCTGCTGACGGGCATCTAGGTTACTTCCATGTCCTGCCTATTATAAACGGTGCTGCGATGAACATTGGGGTGCACGTGTCTCTTTCAGATCTGGTTTCCTCGGCGTGTATGCCCAGAAGTGGGATTGCTGGATCTTAGGGCAGTTCTTTTTCCAGTTTTTTAAGAAATCTCCACACTGTTTTCCATAGTGGCTGTACTAGTTTGCATTCCCACCAACAGGGTAAGAGGGTTCCCTTTTCTCCACACCCTCTCCAGCATTTATTGCTTGTAGACCATTTGGATAGCAGCCATCCTGACTGGCGTGTAATGGTACCTCATTGTGGTTTTGATTTGCATTTCTCGGATAATGAGTGATGTTGAGCATCTTTTCATGTGTCTTTTAGCCATCTGTATGTCTTCTTGGAGAAATGTCTGGTTAGCTCTTTGGCCCATTTTTTGATTGGGTCATTTATTTTCTGGAGTTGAGCTGGAGGAGTTGCTTGTATATGTTTGAGATTAATCCTTTGTGTGTTGCTTCGTTTGCTGTTATTTTCTCCCAATCTGAGGGCTGTCCTTTCACCTCGCTTATAGTTTCTTTGTCGTGCAAAAGCTTTTAAGTTTCATTAGGTCCCGTTTGTTAATTTTCGCTTTTGTTTCTAATACTCTGGGATCCTGCTGTGATGTATGTCGGAGAGTGTTTTGCCTGTGTTCTCCTCTAGGAGTTTTATGGTTTCTGGTCTTAACATTTAGATCTTTAATCCATTTTGAGTTTATTTCTGTGTATGGTGTTAGAAAGTGTTCTCGTTTCATTCTTTTCCAGGTGGCTGACCAGTTTTCCCAGCACCGCTTGTTAAAGAGGTTGTCTTTTTTTCCACTGTATATCCTTGCCTCCTTTGTCGAAGATAAGGTGACCATAGGTTCGTGGATTTATCTCTGGGCTTTCTGTTCTGTTCCATTAATCTATATTTCTGTCTTTGTGCCAGTACCATACTGTCTTGATGACTGTGGCTTTGTGGTATAGTGTGAAGTCAGGCAGGTTGATTCCTCCAGTTCCATTCTTCTTTCTCAAGATTCCTTTGGCTATTCGAGGTGTTTTGCATTTCCATACAAATTGTGAAATTATTTGCTCTAGTTCTCTGAAAGCTGCCGTTGGTAGCTTGATAGGGATTGCATTGAATCTGTAGATTGCTTTGGGTACTATAGCCATTTTGACAATATTG